GCGGGGGCGCTCCCGGGTAGGTCCCCACAGGACCAACCCGGCAGCACTCCAGCGGCTCTACCCGAGGCGTCCCGCAACAAAAGCCTGGTCTGCTGTCGGGGGGGGGGGGGGGCGCACTAGCTGCGCCCCCCTCCCTAGCAGACCAGGGACACGGGGAGCAAAGCTGCAGCGGCGGGGTGCCTTGCCTCTGAGGCTTTGCTCTGGCGCGGGACCCGCTTTGCTCCCGGTGCCCCATGTCTGCTGGGGACGGTCCCCAGCAGACCAGGGGCACCCAGAGCAGCTTTTCTCGCCCCGGAGGTCCAGGTGGCTGACCGCTGCCTGTGAGCTCCGGGGCGAGAGAGCCCCGTTCGTAAGTGCGGATCCGACGTAAGTCTGTATACTTGCCTGTATACTTGCTGAGAGCATAATCAGACTTTTTGCCCAGGAAAACAGGACCATTTATAAAGGATTATTCTACAGGGCTCACGTGTTGCAGGGCTAGCCTAACTTCAATGATGTCTCTATTGGGATCACTTTGAATTCCAGACGCTCCTCACTAGGGTTGAGTGGAGTGAGATTCTGGGGGGGGTCCCAGCCTGAGAGGCTGTTGATGCCAAGCTTATGACAAAGGCTGTTGCCATAGGAAGCTGAGTGGGGAGTTGGTCAGGATTAGACAGAGCTGTTATGGGCCCTGAGACCTGCTAGTACAAAAAAACGGCAAAGATCAAACGGAGCAAGAGATTTACTCAGATGTCAATGTCTGGAGGGGTTCAAAGTCCTTCTCTGTAGACAGAGATCTGGCACCAGAATATGTGGAAGCTGTTCTGCTAGTTTCAGTTCTAGCTGGCTGGTTCATAAGTAGTTCCTATGGGAAAGGACCCAAGCAGCAGGTATGGGACCCTCACTGCGCTTTTAGTGGACAGCAACCTACAGATCAAATAAGTTAGGGGGAGACTTGAAAGTCACAAAGGGTAGTTAGGTGGCCAACTCCACTCACTGCCCCAGGGAGCTGGCTGCTTAATTCTCTCTTGTGTCTTTGAAAAAAATGCTGCTCTGAGTCAGAGGCATAGCTGCTGGGCCTGAATGAGCCATGGCCCACCCGTTTTACATCCAAGTCCACCCCCAGGATTTATCCCACTCCAGCGAGGGAACCCTCCTGTCACACTTTTCCTCATCCCCAATTCTTGCCACTCATGCAAAGTTGAGACCCACTCAAGTGCACCCTTCTGGCTATGCCACTGGTCTCAGGGTTTGTCTACCCAAGGAAATTGACCAATACAGCTAAAGCAGAAGAACAATTATACTCTTCCTTAATAACTATTCTACTATAGCTCTGCTGGTCTACTTCCCCAGCTAGACACGCTGTTGGAGAATTATATAATGAATAATAAATTGCTATGATAAACAATGACATTGGCTGAGACCTCCAGTACAAAGCCGCTATCTGTAACATGTGGGCATCAAACATACCAGTTGTTCTTCATCAGAGGAAAGGTGTGTCCCGGCCTCTTTGGATCCAAGACAAGGCTGCACTGCAGTGCCCCCTCAAGAGCTGCATAGAAGGTTCTCACACAAACATAATGCCTTCCACTCACTGATTACCCTAACCCAGGGCATGGTCATGCTACCTCTTACGAGGGTCCTTGTTCTGTCTACCTGGTAAAATCATTTACTCTTCATTATTTATGTGTGTTCTAGCATCCAGAGCTCCCCATGGTGATTGGGGGCCTATTGTGCTAGGCACAATCCTTAAATCCCTCATCTGCCAGCTGTGGATTGATCATTCCTGTTCTCTCTCTGGCAGTGTTAGAACTGGGCAAAGTCTGTGCAGAGCTGCATTAGGATGAAGTAAATACAAATTAGAGCAAGTTCCATTGCAGTGGTGCTTTTCCTTTCAATTCCAGTAGGGGGAGCCAGATGGTTAACCAGAGATGTTTAGCATGGACCAGAATTTCAAAAGAGCGACATTCTTACTTAGGCTTCGAATTAAAGTTCTCTTTGAAATTCTGGCAATGCATTAGGTGTCTACATGGGGAGCTGTAGGATGTTGAGCTTGCTTGAAAATTGGACATTGAATGTTTATTTTTGTGTAGCAGCTTGAGACAATGTGTGTCTTTGGATCAATCTACTGCACCAGCACTAAAAGCACCCTGGGAAGGTGCTGTGATGCATATTTGTGCAGTGAGATTTTAAAAACAGATCGCAAGTTCTTAAGGGTCATATCAAATGAATAATACCACCCTTGAAGTGCCCAGAGCTAGCCCTGTGTTATGTTACATTCAGTGACTTGTGTTAAATTGAACATGCCACATTGTGCTTCGATAAATACATGTTTTACGATAGAGAGTATCTTCGCAACACCCAGGGCTGGATTAAGGTGTGGAGCTAGCCAGGCAGCTGCTCTGGGCGCCAACCTATGGGGGGTGCCTGATTGCAGCTGTAAGGGGCACTGTGCAGCCTCCGCCCTCAGGCGTGTAGCACTCCTTACAACTGCAATCAGGTGCCGCGCAGCCCCCAGGCGCATAGTGCCCTTTACAGCCCAGGGGCGGGGGCCACGCAGCGCCTGATTACAGCTGTAAGGGGCACTGTGCGCTCGGGGGGCGGGGGTCGCGCGTGGGTCGCGCGCCCGCTGACCGGGGTGCAAGAATGGCTCGAGTTGACACTGGCAACACCTACTGCATGTTCATATCATTCTGTCATGGGAGTTTGCGCTTCGGGTTTCTCGTTATCCAGTCTTGGGGGAAGCCTCATTCTTTTATCTTATACCCCGTTTTGTATTCCACAGTATGGGAGAGTAGTTTGATCCTTCAGGAGTTTTCTAGACTGTGCAATGAGTCCTTATGGACAGGGCTGACTGAAATGCCCTGTTCTCTTGATTATTTGAAATCTAATATTTCAAGGCACTTGGTTCCTTTGTAAAAAGGGTGAGAGGACTGGTTTGCCACTACAGGATTAGTATTTTTAATAGAAAAGCTCTGACAGAAACTTCAAGGGTTTTGACACTTGTTGCATAAAAACAATTTTTGTCTTAATCTGGAAAGGATTGGGGTTTAACAACATTTGGGGCTAGTGTTAGATTTTAGGCTAGAAAGTAAATAGCTGGTTTGTGGCTCTCTTGAGGCCTTTGGAATTTTTGTTCTGTTGCTCCAGACACCTTTATCCTTTAGCAAAGAAGACACAAATGGTTGTAGCACCATCCAAATGCAGCTTTTCTTCATCATCAACAAATTAGTATCCTCCACCCTGAACTATGGCAAGGTGTTTACAAACACAGTATATAAAGTTGAGGTAACAGGGTTGATTTTATCTGCTACCTAAATGCAGCTACCTCTGGAGTGAACAGAGCAGTTGTTTAACTGCCCACCCCTTTTTTAAAGAAGATCAGACTAACAGCTGCACTATTCTACAGGAATGAGCGAAAACACTCCAATAATGTTACGGTGTTTCAGACAGTCACTGCGGTGTTTCACTTCCTAATTTGCAAGTCTTCACAGCAATCTAGTGGTGTAGTCAGCCTGCCTAATGCAGGCCAAGATGTTGGGATGGTAGATGGCAAAGGATGTATAGGAACTAGAAAGTCAGAGAGCCACAGTATGTGTCTGTGTCTAGGCACCACCATTAAAAAAATCTTCTATATTTATTTAAACTAAGTCCTGCTTAGCTCTGCTGAAGAGACACTGGAGTGGGCATTAAAGATGTGCTGTCTAAATATTTTTAAACATTTAAAAGGAGGTTGCTCAATTCCAGGAATTGAAAATTTTGCTTCTAGCTCTCAAAAATGAGATCCTGTGCAGGAATCAAAACCCATGTCTTCTGTAGTAGTCCATCAGATGGCTACCATCAGCTGTCTTCTTTCCAGCCATCCCAGTCTTTCTACCTTTACCTAAATAATGAATGAAGGTTCCCTCAGTGTGATGTAGCCTCATCTGTTTCTCTTACTGATTCATCATGCATGTTTGAAGTCTTAACATGCACGCCGGCCGCATTGAATGAGCTGGCCTGTTTAGTGGGCCAACTTTGTTAATAATTAAGAGGCTTCAGGATAGCAGGATGTGACAGGCCCATTTATGTGGGTCACTTTACCAAGATGCCTTATTTTATGGTGTCAATATGGACAGAGATACAGTTTCACTCTTATGAGTTAACATGATGTGGAATATCTGGTGCAGATTTTATGGACGGGCAGCCTTAATGGTAGACAGTGATGCCAACACTGTCTATAATCCTCTGCTCCTTTTTTAAAAATGTTGTTAATGTAGAACACAGACCTTTTGACTACATTTATTCCACCTGTCTCACTTACACTGGGATGCATCTTTCCTGGTTGTTAGGTTTCATCCTTGTTAGCGATTGTAGGCCCTGATTTTGAAACCAGTTTGCTTATCAATGTGGTAAATGTTATTAGACAAAACTCCCCATCCTTTACAAGCTTTAACAGAAAGGTGCCAAGCTAAGTCAGACCTAATCCAAGACTGACTCCAGTATGTCGGAACACACGCTGGGATGCTGAGAATGAAGCTGCCCTATTGTTCCATGTCTCCCAATAGCTAGGGAAGGTTCTGTAGCCATGTTCCATCTCCATGGCAACGGACAGAGCATTGAAATGAGAAGGTTTATTTACTTTATTTATCCTTTGAATTTGGTACACTCTTTGCATGGTTTACAATGAAAATAATAAGGACCGCTGGGGGGAGGCATATAATGAGAATGAATGAGTCAAAGGGGTGAATATTTACTCAGTCACTGTTCAATATTAAATAGCCTAAAACCATGTTTGAGAACTGGTAGAGAGAGAGCCAGACTTGCCAACAGTGGAGGAGGGGAGAAGGCAAAGGGAGCAGTTGCCCCAGGGCCCAGTAATTCAAAGAGGTCCATGTAGGAGCCAGCCCCTGGGCCCTTTAAATTGTTGCCAGAGCACTGCGTGGTGCAATGTGTGCAGCTGTGAAGGATTGGGAGGGAGGGTGTGCACCACCATCCAGGGAGCACTAAGGGTTAGCTGCCCTAGCTCTTCCCCTTCCTCCTGTAGCCCTGTCCCTTCCAGGAGCGTAGAGCCACTCTCCCTGTCCCTCACCCCCACATGCACACTCTGCCCCACACACACATTGTGCCCAGGGACCCTTGGAGGATGTCTGCTTCCCTGGAGAGATCTCCGCTGCTTAGCACCATGGCAAAGATGCCATTCCACGTTTTAACCTTTTGTTAAAGGTACGGAAAAGGAAAAATAGATACAGTCTCTGAACTGTGAAGCATTCCTGAGGCTTTCGTTTGAACAACATGATTCATTCCCTTTAGCTAGTGAGAGTTTTTAGGAGGAAAAGCCCCTTGCTTGACAGTCTCCGGGTGGTAGTAAAAGATGGTAATAACTGGCCTGCAGGGGAAGGAGAAGTGAATTGAGCTGAGCTGATGCTGCTGTTTTTGCTGCTCTTCAAGTACGATCCCATTTCATTCCAAGCAGTATCTGGGATTCAGCTGGAGCAGGCAGAGAGAGGGAGTCTGATCTGGGCCCCTCTTCCAGGCCTTATCCAGTCAGTCTGTCTCTCAGAATCAAGACACAGAAGGATGGGGGTGCCAGGATGTGAGGTGGGAGGGGGCAGCCATGATGGTGAAGCTTGCTCCAGTAGACTCTGTCTGTTCTTTTCTCTTCCTTCCTGTCAGAGTCTCTCTCTTTAAGGACCCACAGAAGGAATGGTGGGCAGAGTAGCCAAGGTCCTCATTATTTTGTCCACTAATTAGCCAAATATTGGACGCTCCAGTCTTGGCTCATTCATTTTCAGTTCAATATCTTCTGTCTTTACCAAGCATTTCAGCAGACAGGTGACACATAGGAGGTACATTTCCCCCAAAAATTTTTTGGCAGGAGGGGCAAGGAGCCAGCCAGTAGCTGGTGAGGGGACTGGCAAGGGAAGGGTCTGGTCCCTGCACTAGGGATGTTAGCAAGTAGTCAAGTAGTATAAACTTATCAGGTAGTTGAGTGAAGTATTTACTACTCACTCCCTCCCTCCTCCCCAAACTCCCCACTGTCTCTAGAGTGGGGAATTGGAGCCAGCTAGGAGGCAAAAATACTGGACACCTGGCAACCCTACACACACTCAGCAACTGGGCCCAGCCCTCGCCTCCCTTACCGCAGCTCCTCCCCCCACTTACCTGGTTCTGTAGAGAGCTGTCTTCTGTCTTGGAGCAGGCCACCAGCAAAAAGCCTCAAAGTCATGTCTTAAAGCCGTGGTCTCAGGGGCTCTAAGATCTCAGGGGCTCTAAAAGTAGCTCTTGAGCCCTCTCTGAACTGCACACCTGCGCAGTACATTTACATTAGATTTCCTCATTCGAGGAGCAGCTACTCACCGAGCAACAACACAGTGAGTAGCTGCGAGGAATGGTGGGAGCTGGGAGGTCAGGAGGGCTGAAACACCCCAGCCAGCTGACTGTGGCTTTCAGCTGAAAGAGACTGCCCCATGCTCCAGCTGATCAGCGGCTTCTCCTCTGTGCCTGCCTACGTGGAGCTTGGTGCACCCTGGCTAAGCGCCATGGCCAGCTGGCCGGGCAGCCACTTCTCTTCCCTCCAGCCCGGCTGCC